GTGGCCTTTATTTGAAGTAGTTTGACAGGAAAGAGAGTTATGAGAGAAGGGGAAGACATGCGGCAAATGTCACCAGGCCGGGAAGCTCGTGCTAGCTGTGCTAATTCTGAGGGTAGCTAATGCTAGCTGTGCTAATTCAGAGGTCAGCTCATGCTAGCTGTGCTAATTCAGAGGTCAGCTCATGCTAGCTGTATATTATTATATTTCAGCGGTTAGATGCTAGCTGTGTGTGGCTCATAACGAGTGCAGGGCAGTAAAAATGCCCCGCTCTCTGTTTGCCCCAGGTACTGGCCATTGTCATGGATCTCCTAACGGACCTGCAGATCCTCCAGGACCTGCTGGATGCGGCGGCGCGGCGCGGCGTGGCGGTGTATGTGGTGCTGGAGGCCCGCGGCGTTCCCCACTTCCTGGACATGAGCTCCCGGCTGCAGATCAACGCCATGCACCTGAGGGTGAGATGCCAAGCCGCGCACACAGAGCAGGACTCAAACCACTGGCTCCTCTTCTTGTGCTGCAGTTAAACCTTCCTCTGATGATCTAATTTAATTTTTAACTTTTTGTATTAAGTCGCCTCAACCAGCTGAATTCTCCTCCAGACTTTTGGTTTTGGTGAAAAGCTTAGAGGATGTTTGTTTCCTCTGGAGGAGGAAGAGCGTTTCTCTGATCCTCTGACATCCGATCTGAAACCAAACCAGCCTTATCTGCAGCCTGCAGCGTTTTTCCTGCGCTGTGGGGCCGGGTCGTGGCACAGCGGCCCGGTTCGACTCGGTTTTCAGGGAACGGTCTTTGTTCCTGAGAACAGATCCCAGAAACTAGAGGCTCCACGGCCCAGCCGTGGTCCACGTGTGTGTGTGTTGACCCAGGGCGTTGTGTAATTGTGTGTGTGTGTGTGTGTGTGTGTGTGCGCGCAGAACCTGCGTGTGCGGATGGTGAAAGGCGCGGGGCTGGCCCTGTCCTTCGGGAAGCTGCCCGGCTCGCTCTGCTCCAAATACATGCTGGTGGACGGAGAGAAGGTCATGTTCGGCTGCTACAGGTTAGCGCCTCATGCTAATGTTATTAATGCTAATGTCCACATGCTAATGTTAATCATGTTAATGTTGTTCATGCTAACATTTTGGACTTACTTCATAATTGATTTTATTTGTTTGTTTGTTTTATTTTGTATATTTAAAATGTATTCCAGTTCCAGTGCTAAATGTTCATTAATTTAAAGATTATTGATCTTCTGTTATTATTCTATTACCGTTACATTCCTGGAAAATTGTCTCAAATCAATAATATTATCATTTATCGTGATAACTTCTGGAGTAATTTATCGTGCGGTAAGTTTTTTACCGTCTTGGTTGTTGCTGCTGCGCTGAATGTTGGTAAGTTTGTGGTTTATGGTTTCATTCCCGGTTTCAACCTCCAGCTTCACGTGGAGTTCGTCTCGTTTGGACCGGAGCGCCGTTACGGTGATGACGGGTCAGATCGTCGACTTCTTCGACAGCGACTTCAGAGAGATGTACGCCGTGTCGGAACCGGTCGACCTCCACAAGGAGTTCAACATCAGCAAGCCGCCGCTGCCCACTCCCGTCCTGAAGCCCCGGGTGGAGCACCTCCGCCCCGCGCCCGTCTCCACGTCCCGCTTCCAGGTGTCCGTCGGCGACTCCAGACAGGCCGACTTCAAAGTGCCGGCGCACAAATACCACAACCCCAAATACTCGCTGGTGTTCGGGAACAGCTTGGGCCTGACGGGCTCGCTGCAGGACCTGTCCACTCAGGGTCACTCTCTGCTCGGTGGCACCAGCCAGAGGGACACGGAGGGACACGGGGACACGGTGGACCGAGTGTCCTCACCGAGTCCGAGCGCCACCACCGAGGAAGAGGAGAAGGACGAGCGCGGCGGTGTGAGGAAGAGCGAGGCGACCGCCGTGAAGAAGCCGCGCAGTTCCTTCAGGAACTTCCTGAAAAACAGAGCAGCCAATCACAGAGCAGAGACTATACCGGAGGGCGTGGCCACTCCTCCAAGCTCCGCCCCCGTGGCTACGCCAGAGGCCAACGGCGTCGCAGGAAACGAACCGGAGGATTCGTTTGAGGTTCAGGAGAAACCGCCGAGGTTCAAACCCAAAAAGCCGCAGAAGAACATCCAGAGGAGCGTTTCTCTGCAGACCATCGGCACGGCGGACCAAGACGGTACGTTTTACTCAGCTGTTGGAAAACTAACTCTAAGTCTGTCTGGAGCAAACGGGACTTTAACTAAATATGAAACTCACTTTGTTAAAACTAGAAACAAAACTTGTTTAACGAGTTTTATATCATTAGACATGAAAGTTTTTTGTTAAAATTAGATTTTGCTCCTGAATTTCTCCAACAGTATGAAGCTCTAAAAATAAAGATATGAAAATAATATAGAAAGGACTAAAATCCTAAATGTAAAACAGTTTAAATATACTGTAATCACAAACATATTTAGAAATTACTTTCTCTAAATGTTACTTTCTGTAGAGTTGAGCAGCACATCAGGGGTTAAAGGTCACAGAAAGCGAAGCTTTATCATTTTCACCAGTAAAGAAAAGAAAACTGATTCTATCTTCAAGTAAAGTTTCTCTTTTTGTTTCTCCAGGACTGAAAAGCCGCCGGCGGCATCCGAGAAAGAACTGCATCCAGTCCTGAGAGGAGGAGCGGCGATGGACCGCCCCACTGCGACGCTTACCGATTTACTGAAACGTTTTACTGAAACGATTTACTGAAACGTTTTACTGAAGCGTTTTACTGAAACGTTTTACTGAAGCGTTTTACTGAAACGTTTTACTGAAACGATTTACTGAAATGTTTTACTGAAACGTTTTACTGAAACGTTTTACTGAAACGATTTATCAGCAGCGAAACGTTTCTGAACCGAAAACCTCAGGAGCCAAACCCTGCTCGAGTCGAGTTTCAGTCGACACTTTTACATTTTTCTAGTTTATTTTAAATTATTCCACTGGTCAGTGTTTTCTGTCATTTCCTCTGGAGCCTTAACTTCACCTGGTGTTATGCTACACCTGGTTGCTATGGAGACTGGAAAGGTGATCAGTGTGTGTGGTCTTGGTAACGCAGTCGGTGTGTTGAACACACTGAACGATATGAGAGTCTTTGTGGCAGATGGACTTTAAATGATCACAACTTTGTTACAGAAAATAAATAAAAGACAAAAACTTTGACTAAACCATTCTCCAGGTCCTTCAATAAATTAAAACATGAGCATCAAGAATCTGAAAATAATCAGATTTATTTCACTTCCAAATGATTTTTTTACTCCTGTGAGTTTTACTTTTCCTCAGTATTTATTTATTTCAGAAGAAACAAAGAATATTACAAAGAAAACGAGTTTTCTGCAGTTTTCCATAAAGCTCGTTTCACCTGCAGTCGAATTGAAATCAATTTAAATACAGACAAATACCATCCAAACGAAGAGAATAATGAATAAAAACATTTATTTTAATATAAAACATATCAGGTTACATATTTAAAAAGAATAAAAAGTTATAAACTAATTTTTTTGTTTCAGAAAATCAAACTAAATTTAATATCAAAGATAACTGAAGTAATTAAAAAAACTTGCTTTCAAATGATCTCAGTTATTAGACAGTTTTATGTAAAATCATATTTTATATTTTCCCATCATGTTTTTTCTTCATCAGAAACAAACCTGGAGCGTTTCTGTGATGTTTGAGAAATCCTGTAATCTCCATGGCAACCAGTCAGCTGTTGCCATGGCAACAGGGTGGGTTTCATTAGCCACTGTGTCTGACTGGCGACACGAAGTAGGCGAAGGATCTCTGAATATTAGAAACTGCAGATCACATGAGCTTCAGTTTCCTTTTCATGGATCATTTTTAAGGTTTTGATACAAAACAAAACATGGATCAATCTGTCCAGGACTGGCAGCTGCACAAAAATAGAGCTAATCTGAATTTAAAGACGTAAATAAGGTGATTTTTAAAATTTGTATTTTTTGTAAGTACGTCGGGAAGAACGAGAGATGAACTAAGTGAAATGATCCAGGAGGAAACCAGCGTCTCCACTTCTACCCACAATCAGTGGAGCGACGGGTCTGCAGAGAAACTGAGTTATTCATTTCTAATTACTGGAGTTTTCTTCTCCCAGTAAAACCAGTACGACTCACCGGAGGTGAACCAGAAACTTGATCTGTGTGTCTCATGATTTCTCTCAGTCTTCACTCCGGTTAGAAAAGAAAATAAAACTCAGATTTCAGCAGAAATTTACGTTTCAGTCCAGTTCAACATGGCGGTGCTGCGGCGCCATCTGGTGGAGAAGAGGCGACAAGCTTCGAGGAAAAATAAACTTTATTCTACAAGTTTGATTATGTGATCATTAAATTACATATTAAACATACAAATATAACAAACTACACATTCAACGGTTCATAAATTAAACATGTTGCGATTTTACATCTGTTAGACTTAAAGAAATGCTACATCGTTTCCCCAGACTGAATTAATAATCAGCCAGAGGTATTTGACATTTTAAAAATGTTTTATTGTTTCTATTGTGGTTTCTGTGTTCAGACGTTTTCTGGCTGTTTTTTTCTGTGTATTTTTTCCCCTGGACTCCAAATGTAGCTTCATTCATTCATTATTAGTATTTAAATTACATCATTTTGTATCTATTTTTGATATTTTTCTGTTTTTTGTGGAAATATTGAACATCCATGTTTTGCATCTCGGTGACTTTTCTTTTTTAAAGTGAACATTCAGCATCTTTTCTTTGTTTTCGTCCTTTAGCTTCTTTTTCAGCTTCAGTTTCGTTTCTTCTCTTTTAGCTTCCAGCTGTGGTTCTTCGCTGCTTTTTGTGCATCGCTTCATTTTTAAGCTTCTTTGTGAAAACTTTAGTTCATTTCCTTCACAAGGAGAGAAGCCAGTTGAAAGTAACGCTAACGCCTCCTTCCAGGAACCGTCTGTCTGCAGTTTGCAGAAGTGACTTGGACTCTTCATTTCTGAGTTCACGGTTCCTCTTCATCTCTCCAGTTCAGCTTGTTTCTGTGAAACGTTGGTGAAGCTTCGTTCAACACGCTTCACTCCGATGACGAAGCATTCGTGATCACCTTCCTCTTCCTCATCGACACCAGATCGTAAAACGGGTCCTTGGTGATGCTCGCCCTGGAAGAAACGGTTTATCAACATGATTATCAGCGTTTTCTGTCTTTGCTTCATAACTGAACGTTTCTTCTGCTGCTCCACTTCAACAAAACGTAACTGTTAAATTATTGGATCTGTTAGAGAGAAAAGCTGAAGATGATTACCTAATACGGTTTATAAACACATCAAATGTTTGTGATAAATATCAAAAGTCAAATCTTGCAGGTTTGTTTAAATTTGGCCATTTTGGCAACAAACTGGACTTTTAATCTGAACTAAAGTTTCGATCTAATTCGCTCCAAACTTCCTACAAAACTGGAAGTTTCCTGTTTTTACTGACTGAACCCAATTTTCTTTTTTTTTAAATACCCACATTTATTTTTTTATCCAATAATAGAAAAACAATTAAAACTTATTATATTTAACTCCAATTGAAGTGATTTTTTTGGAAAACCCAAAAAAAAATAAAAAAATAAATAAATAAAATTAAACTTTACTGCAACGTTAATCTTCTAATATTATGACAAATATTCTGACTTTATTCTCATTATTTAGATTTTTCTCATATTCAAAACAAATAAATCAGCATAAATCTAAAACTCTATCGTTTGAGTTAATTCATGACCAGAGAACCAGTTTTTATTTAATCTGAGATTTTCTGAAAATATATAATAATAATAATATTAATGATAATAATATTAATATTATTAGCATTAATATTATTAATGATAATTAT